GGGCAGCGGGACAGCCGGGGGCCACAGCGGCCTCTCCTCCAACTTCAATGAATGGTACGTGTGAGAGCCCGGGGCCTCTCTTCCTCTCCCGGTCCCCGCCCTGGCGCAGCCCTCCCGGTGGCGAGCGCTGAGGGCACCCTGTGATGTGTTGTTAAAATTATGAATCTGATTTTTATGATGATGAAAATGATTTTACCAGCAGAAGGATTTTTAAAAGTTTGTTTTTGTTTTTGTTTTTAAATAATCTAGGCATGAAAAGCAAAAATATCCCTTCCGGAGTCTCCGCTGAAAACATAAAATAAGAAATTTTAAAAAAAATAATAAAAAATAAAAAACCCATAAAAATCTTGAACCAAACCCTCCTTCCCTTCCCCCCATGCCCTCTTTTCCTTCTCACCCACTTCCCAGTCTTCTGACAAACTGTACATAGCGAACTCCTTCCTTCTCCAAGGTGGTTTTAATGGCTTCTTGGTGTATAGAAGTTTGTCCATTTGTAACTCTCCGGATTGCGTTCCTCCCTGCCTTTCTTCCCTTCTCTTCCCCAAGTGATGGGCTTTTTCTTTTCTCTTTTTAGTTCACCCGGTTTCTTTTTAAGTAATGTGGAAGAAAATGGTTTATTTTGTATCGTGGTATTGAATATTGTGTTCCTTTTTATGAGGCAACTTGATTGTAAACTTCATGCAACTATAGACTGGAAAAAACCGAGCCGTGCCAAAGTCTCTCTTCTGTTTCTTCAACACATTGATCCACAGCACACACACACCACCACCACCACCACCACCAACGCTTGTGAATGTATTTTTCTGTTAGCTGGGTTTACATGTGATGTTTTAGTGCTTTTGCAAGTTCAATTTGTTAGTTCCTGTATGAAAGATTGTGGGGGAAAATAAACGTTGTGCCGTTAGCTTTTCCGTAATAACACCCTTCCTTCTGTAAATACCCGTTACCATATTTATCCATTTGTAATTAAATTATGGTATTAACTTGCTACAGAGGAAACAATATTTATAAAGAATGTTTCTTAACTATAAATATGTACAATTGTGGGCATAAACTGTTTCAGATTTTTTATTTGAAGGTTTTAAGTGGTTTGATCATTTCTTGTGATATGTTTTGAGAGTAATGCATACAGAAATATAATAAAATGTGTTGAAACTGCATGAACATACTTTTTTTTTTTTTCTAGCAGAGTTCTTAAAGAAAAAGGGGAAGGGGGCAGCTGAGGGTTGACATGGGTATGGAACAGCTGCCTAAATGAAGGGGAGGAACCACCTTACCTTCTAGGGAGGAAGGTGTATGTATGCATAGGAACCAGGCCAAAATGCCCCTTTGGCAGAAAGTCTCAAAATTATTTTCTATGTCCTTTGTTTGTAGCTGAGAGTGAATTAAATTTTTGGAAGGGCCCTGTGAGGACTGGTGGCTGGAACCTTCAGAGTTTCTAATGGCTCCATTATCTGAGGGAGTGCCTTTCTTTCAGCTATTTGGACTGGCTTTAAGAGCACTAAACATTTCCTTATTCTTTGTTTTCCCTCTTCCCTGCCCCCTTTCCTCTCCCTCCCTCTGAAAAGCTGAGGTACAGTTATTTTTAATTGCACATTTAAAACTGAGCTGAGTACTTTGTTTTTGAACTTGGCCCGGTGATTATAGTTTAAGGGCCCTTTTCTACCTAAAGTGTTTTCTTGGAATTTCAGAGAGCTTGCTCAAGAAAGTCTGCTTATCCTCAGAGCTGCTGCACACCAACAAGGAAGATGTTAAAGGGAAGAAGGTGACAGAGTACGCTTTAATTTAGGAGAATAACAAACCCTTGGCTCAAAACAAAAGAGAATCTCTGCAAGAATTCAGTAAAATAGAGTAAGATGTAAAGACTAAAATGGTCAGGTGTGAGTGAGGCAGAGCATTGAGGACCAGTTTGTCTATAAGGTTTGCAGCTTTAATCTTCTCCCGTGCAAGAATTTATCAGATTTCAAACTCAGTGCTCTAAGGAATAAGGCAAAAATAATTTTAACAATCAAAGGGTAGGAATGGGGTAGAAATAAGCAGGCATCAAAGGGTAGAAATAATCTTAAAATTATTTTGAAATCCCTGAACCATGAAAATGTCTCCATTTCTTTCTTACTATGCCCACACCCCCCCCCCCCCCCCCCCCCCCCAGTACTGAGAAGATTCGGGCTTCAGTCCCCGACACCTACCTAGGATCGCCCAGTAGGTTCTGTCGGGGGAGACCCAGGTCTCCGCGGAAACCGCTATTTCTATCCTTCCCTTCCATGGTCGCCTGAGCTGCAGGGCCAGTCAGGCTAGGCCAGAGGGCTGTTTGGAGAGAAGGGCAACTCTGACCTCCTGGAGGCCACCTATTCAATGCGGAGGGAAAGACTCCAGCCTGGGTGTGTGTGTGTGTGTGTGTGTGTGTCCCAGAGGGTGACAGACACCAGGCTAGCCCTCCCCAGCGGACCTACGAACTGCCCAAGCACCAGCTCCTGAAGCAATCAACCCCCTATTAAAGTCAAATTTATAACCCCTAATAATATTAAGGAAAATTATTAAAATAATTGGCATATGTTACTGATCCTTGGGAGATTTCATTGAACACATTATAAGCTGTGAGGAAAAGCCTTTAGTTTTTCAACCCACCCCCCGGAGGAGGGGACGAAGGAATCAGATGAAATATTTATCATAACTTGGTCAAGAATGAAATGGTATATCATAAATGTTTTAAACTTTTTTTCTTTTTTTGGTGGAAATTATTGGCTTTGGGACACCTCCCCAATCTAAAGAGAAGAGTGGCGTGGAGGTGTGTACTTTAGTATCAGCTCAAGGCTTGGGGCGTCTCTTCCCATTTGGGGGAAGGAGAGGGACAACGTCAAGAAGAGGCAGACGCTGTCGCAGCCTTGAGTGGGCTGGCTGGCTTTCCACGCTCAATGTCGAGAGCTACCGCTGGGCCCTTTAGGTCCAGGGGAGCTGATCCTAGTTTTCAGCAGGAAATAAAAATGAGAAGGCGCCTGGCGCGAGGAGGAGGAAGATCGCAGCCTGGGGGCGGTTTCCTAGTCCACGCTGGGGTATGAGGAGCGGACGCGAGCAGCTTTCCCGCAAAATGGCTCCCAGCTCTGCCCCTGAAGCCCACCGCTTTGTCCAAACCGGTCACCCAGCCGGTGGTGTGGCCCACTCTCCGCCTTCCCCTAACACGCTTCGAATCCCGGAGACAGGGTGGGGGAGGGGAAGATGGCAAAGTGGTCAAAGGTGTCAGCATTGCTCAAGCTAGAAAGCGCGAGGGAGGCTGGCGGCCCAAGATTCTGCGCCGCAACCGGGCGCCTGGGCCTGGGGGTGGGGGTTGCGTGCGTCTCTCCCACTGTTGCGTAAATGGAGCTGAATTCTAACCTGCCCTCGCGTGGACTCCGGAACTACAGAACTGGAGCCCATCTTCGCTTCCTTCAGGGAATCAGGGAACCAGAGCTGCGTCTCTGGTTCCCTGCTCGCGGGGAGGCTCGACTGCCTCCGCCTGAGGACGGTTTCTGCCGGTCACTGCCATCAACTTGAACTTCAGAGCGCCCAAGCTCGCTCCCTTTGCTCTCGGCTCCATCCACCACCAAATAACTTCCCTCACGCGGGAGTCGCTTTATCCGGAGGCAGCTGGAGCCCCCTCGGGAGGCCCATCATTATTATTATTAATTATCGTGATCCTCACTGCATTATTAATGACCACAATGATAACTGGCATCGGTATCAGCTTCTCCCTGTTCAACGAAGTCCCCCAAGTGTCAGGCGGGGAGGAGGTCACTCTTGGAGCAGAGGCCGGGTTGATTCTGTTCTGGGCGCAAGAGGAGGCTATACTAAGGCCGAGGCCCGGCTGGACGACGCGAGTAGAGGAAGCAGGTCCCAGGCCCAGCACACCCGGTCCCCGCGGTCCTGGCCCCTTTCCTTTCTGCTGGCACCTTCTCTTTTCCTCCTCCTCCCCACCCCCTGCCCCCTTTGTCTCTCTCTCTCTCTCTCTCTCTCTTTCTCTTTTTTCAGACGGATGTTTTCAGTATCAAGTGGTGTATTTTCCGCACAAAACTGTGAAATCCAGGGCAGATCACAGGCTGGACCGGAGTTTCGGGGTTCCCTGTACACCGCGCTGTTCTTTCTCATTCCAGGGTTGGCTAGGAAGGCCTGGGTTTTCCGAGTGACCGGTCGCCGTCCGGATAGACAGGACTGACTGGGGGAGGTGTGTTCTAGTAGGATACGCGGGGGCCACCAAATACTCGAGCCTGGGATCCTACCCTCCCCTATATCACGCCCCCGAAATCACCCAAAGGGCGCGCTAGGCCTGTGTCCAAGAGCTAAAAAATAAAGAGCTCAAAATAATATCCCACCAAGACTTGGTTGAACCCTTGAATGCGTTTTTACTTAAGCGGACACGTGCCCCGGAAAGCGACCTCGGGATCCAAAATATACGTTCAATAAATACTGGAGGATTGATTGATTATATAGTCTGATACCCCTCTGGTTCCACAGAAACTTGGAGCTGCTGGGCCCACTGCTACCCCCAGCAGACCACAATGAACGGTTTCTATTTTTAACTGGCAGCTTAGAACAGGACTGGAGCCGTGTCGCCCTCCTTGCTAAACCCCCTCCCCAACCCTCAACAGATTGTTGCAAGGGTTCTTCTATTTTAGGGAAGAACCTAGATCCAGAAGGGATCGAGTGATCGGGCATAAACCCTCGGGTCGTCCCGCTGGGCTGCTGAGAAAGAAAAGGCAGCCTTGGCAGTTTGAACAGGGTGTTACGAATGAGAACTTCTGTAAACCATAACCAGGGCAGCCGGAGGGTTCGAGTTCACGGTCAAGGCTGTGGGCGACTGGGGCCGCAGTGTCCACGCCCCGCTCCGCCCCTGCTCTGCCGCGGCCCAGATTGCGGGCAGGGCGCGCAGAGCTAGGGTCCTCCCACTCCCGCCCCGCCCCTCAGGCCCAGTCCGAGAATTGTCCGTGCTGGGGCCACCTCGCTGCCCTTGCACGTTTCCCTTTTGTTTTCAGGGCTCGACGAGCTTTTGAAGAGGTGACACTTCGCTTCCTCTGCAGACCTGCAACGTGCCCTTGTCCCGAATCGAATCCCGCATCCTGCCTCCCAGTCATTCGGGATAAGGCTCTGCGCAGCCACCAGGCCAGAGCTGCGGGCGCCGCATTCACTAGCATGCGCGCACACAGACCCCCCACATACGCACACATTCTTTCTCACAATCTCTCCACGCCGTAACACACACACACGCACACGCACACGCACTCACATATGCTTGCCTCCTTCGGCATCTCCCTAGGCACCCGCTCGCGTGC